GGCCAGGCCAGGCCAGGCCAGGGAAGGATTCCAGAGCTGGAGGACAGTATTAAGCTTTGTCAGGGGAGGTCTAGGTTGAACATCAGGTGCAATTTCTCCACAGAAAGAGTGGTCAGGCATTGGAAGAGGCTGCCTGGGCTGGTGGTGCAGTCACCGTTCCTGGAGGCGTCTAAGGAAAGACTGAATGTGGCACTCAGTGCCATGCTCTAGTCGACAGAGCGGTATTCGGTCACAGGCTGGACTCGATCTCAGAGGTGTTTTCGGATCTCATTCACTCTGTGACTGTGATTTTGGAGAATCACGACCATCCCAACACAAACGACAGGACGCCCCATCACGGCCAGGACGGGCAATCCACGTTCTGCGCATGCTCCACCGACAGCGCCGCACCCGCGGTCCCCCATTGGCCTGCGCGCTGCCCGCCGCTCCGGCCCAATGGCAGCGCTCGTTGTTGAGGGGTGGCGGGAAGAAGGCGTTGCCGAGGCCCCTCCCCTTCCTTTCGCCGCCGCGCTGCTCTCACGAACGCACGTCTCAGCGCCCGCCGCCGCCGCCGCCGCCCAAGTACGCGCGCGGTGCGCCCCCGCTCCGCGGCAGTGGTGGCGCCCGGCCCACCCGCGCCAGTCCGCCGCCGCCCGTGGGGCTCGGGCGAGATCACTCGGGGCGGGGGGGTAGAAGGGGAGAATGATGGCCATGTGCTCTTCTGGCCTGCCCTTGGGCCGGGTCTGGCGGAGGGACGGGACGGGCTGAGGCAAACGCCAGGGCGGCAATGCCGCGTAGTCGCCTTGTTTCGGGAGAGGTGTACGGTGACGGCGCGGGCCTCGGGTTCTCATTTATAAGCGGAGCCAAAGGATTGTGGCTCGGAGGGAGAAGGGATGAGCTCCCTCGGGGCATACGTAACTGGGCCCTGCTGAAACTACTCTCGTGTCTTGCAGGATGCGTTACGTCGCAGCTTATCTGCTCGCGGTGCTCGGGGGCAATGAGTCCCCCACGTCCAAGGACTTGAAAAAGATCCTCGACAGCGTCGGCATAGAGACGGACGATGAACGCATGAACAAGGTGGTGTTGCCTCTTAATTCCAGATGTCCCAGCCAGCGCCAGACATTGGAGCCGTTTCCTTGGCTTCGCTGTTCCCTTTGCCTCCTTATTGATCTGCTTTTGTTCAGCCATTCGTTGATCCTTACCACTGTGATTTCTAAACACTGTTGAGCCAATCATAAGATTTTACAACTTTTGTTAAAAGTCCGGCTTTCTTATTCAATACCTGTCCTCTCCAAAGGTATTTGTAGTTCAGTGTAATCCTCATTGAGATGGTGGCTGCATATAAGGTTGCATTGAAAATGTTGTATTATGACATCCTGTATAGTCTGCACTGAAGGTTCACTTCTTATTTTCAGTCAGTATCAATTCAGAGCTAACACTTGAAGGCCTGATACTCACTAATATGTTCTTCCTTAGTGTGCTGCAAAGGAGCATTTGTTTCCTCACCAAGAAACATAGGCAATTTCTAACAGGGAGATTAAAGGTATTTGATGATAATATATAGGAAGGTTTTTGAAATTAACACCAAAGTGATTGTGTTGAAAAACAGACTTTTAAAGAGTATCTTAATTAGAATGTTGCTTGTGATATAATAGGTCTTTAGCATTGTGGACCTAAAAATAATCTGACATGGGGAAAAAAATCCAAGAACCAATAAAATACTGGTTTCACATATCCCATACTGGTATGTGAAGTGTTTCCAGAGAGATAAAGGTAAAAAGAAAATACTTACCCAGTGTTTTACCATAGGCCCAACCAGACAGTTGGTTGGCTGAGCTGACAGCATCCTGACAGTGGTTTGGGATTGATTTGGTTTGAACTTGTGGTGCTCCTGTTTAAGTTCCAAGTCTTTTGTCTTTGGCTCCTTTAGGTTTAATACCTTAATGAATGAATTACTTTCTCTGATCCTCCAATATTTGGAAAGCTGTTTCAGAATATGTTTTGGTCATAATTAATTTTTGCATTGTCTGTATCTTAAGCCTGTGTAAATGTAGTGAAGTCTTAAAAGTGCCTTTCTCCTGATGGAACAGTCATGCAGGCGCATAGTTTCACACATCCCACACTGTGTGTATGCAGAAGGTCCCTGTTAACAAGCTATTGGCTAAAGTCCTTTGGCTTTGGCCACTGACTCCTGATAGCTGGGACTCACCAGTAAGTTCTGGAGCATTATTTTTAAGTGCTTGCTATAGCAGTTTTGGGGTTTGTGCTTTGCTTTTGTCATCCCTTATGGTTATTCAACAATGGTAGTAAAATTAAAGTTGGAACTCTGTGTTCCAGGGCAAGGATACAGTGGTTTGGCTTTTAACATTTGTTTGGGCTAGGAATGGGATCTTGTGGTTTTGGGTCCAGAACCCATGCCTCAGAGCCTCCCAGGGGGCATTAAGCAAGAAATGTAAACAGTCCCTCAGTGACTTACACTGTGGTGGGTCTTCCTGATTGGTTCCACAATATCTCTGTATCCTCTTTTTTTCAAGGTCGTTGGATTAATTATGAATTCTGTAACAGATTTCATTAAAATGCTTAAAGTGTTCAAGACTTAGATAAGGTTTTCATGTCAGTGTTCCGTTTCTGGCATTGAGAAGTGGGAATTTTGGGGCTAGATAAGCAGCAGGATGGAGGCGCTGCATATGATGATTCATCAGTACTCATTTAGATGTAGTTTATCCTCATGCTGTTTGGAAGCTCAACATTCTGCATTTTACTTACAGGTTATTAGTGAGCTGAATGGAAAAAACATTGAAGATGTAATTGCCCAGGGTAAGTAGAGTCGCCAGGTGACCCAGATAATTACCTCTGTTACTTTGATAGCCTAGACCTGAGAGTATAGAATTGGTATCAAGTCACTGACTCCTTGTTCAGCATCGTGCATCACAGCTGAATTGAGTTAAATCAGGTCCATTCTAATTCCCTGCAGGTCAGTGCCAGTACCTGCTGGGTTTCGCTTGTGGACCACATTAAACTGGAGAACTCAAGCATGTGTGAGCTTACTGGTAGTCTGCTCATGATGTTGTTTTCTGGACATGTTGATAAGAGACTGAGCTGTCCTTCGGGTTCTCTAGGAGCTGTTTTGTGTTTTACCCACTTGTGAGCACCAGTGATACAAAGCATGAAGAGCAGGCAGTTGGCATTGGGGTGCAGCTCCACCCTCTGCGGTGAGCACAAGCCTCTCCGGTGCACATCTCTTGTAGAACTCTCAAGAGTCCAGCATTCCCTTTCCCTGAGGCAGAGCTCTGAGGGCTGATTTCCATAGAAACTTGTGCTCCTACTGAAGCTGGAACTTTCCACGTGAATTGACTGGGTCATAGGGCTGAAGTAAAGCAGAGCTGAGGTAGTGCAAAGGTTTCTGATTAATTTTTATTTTTTTGCAAGTGTATAGACACAAGGGAATTTGCAGGCATATTTTTGCTTAAAGGTTGCCAGGATTTTGCTTGGCCTTGCTGTCAGAAGCAGGCACTTGACATTTCCATCCATGTGGTTTGAAAGACCTAAGAGAGCTATTATACATGTGGTTACAACACACTTACACTGTCTTTCTGTAATACTTTAAATAAATTGTTCCTTAGAACATATATCCATATGAAACATGTTTGTTTACTTTGCTAGTTTAATTAGATCTTGAAGTAACGGAACTATTTAGAAACTGATTCCCAGAAACTGGAATACAGGCAAACAGTGTTTGTATGTGACCTTTGAATGCCAAGGGAACCTTGGTATGTCAAAGACAAGAGGCCAGAGAACTAGCTGGCTTTCCAAATACAAGCAGAAATCAGAAGTCTCAAAGGAGATGCAATAGGGTTCATAGGGTACTGAGGAATTTGTTTAAAATACTGTACTCTTTGCCATAAATAAATCAATGTTTCCCTTTCTCTCCTGTAAGTGTGATCCAGTTATGCCGTCAGAATTCTCTTTACCCTTAGAGGGGGGGAAAAAAAAGTGGAGGAAGCCAGTGCTGCCAGTATGTTACTTTTGAGGTACATTATCACTTTCTAGGCTACTGTGCTGTATTCAGAAAACAGTGGGTGTGCAAAATTGGATGTTTGCTGCTATTTTTATGCCAGCTTTTGGAAAAAAGAGAGGGACTTTGTGTACAGAAGAAAACTTACTAATCATACGCTGTCAGTGTTCTTGGGACAAGCCTTTGTGAATCTTAAAACTCTCCTGAGTGTTTTTCACAGAACAGTTTATATTTATCATGGATGCAGCCTCTTGTTCCTTTTAGCAGATAGTGACAGGTTCAATCCATGAGACAGGATCTGTTTTTTCTGCACTCTTCCATTTCCTCTGACTTCTGTGCTTGGGATGAGCATGTAAATAAATACCTTTTCTTGTATCCCATTCAGGTAATGGAAAACTTGCCAGCATGCCAGCTGGGGGAGCGGTGGCAGTCTCTGCTGGAGGGGGCTCTGCTGCTCCTGCTGCAACTGCTGCCCCTGCAGCCGGTGAGTGTGAGCCTAGAGGAGTGGCTACAGGGCAACTCCTGCTGTCTCTGGTAACAGCTTGACAACTGAGTCCACATTTCAGGGCTTCTCCACTTTGGCAGTTCAGTATGTGATGGAAATGTCAGCTGAACAGTTACTTTTCCTTTGGACAGTCAAGTATTTGGTTTTTATCTGCCTTAGGATTGGTCTTGCTTAGATACAAGAATCAGAGAGACTTGGTGGTGTCAAGCACATCTCTCCAACAGTAGTGTCTGTACCCATTCAGTGTATTTGGTTGCTCTGGAGTCTCTAATACAAGTAGGCAGAGGAGCTGAGAACACCAAAATTTGTATCTTGTGATACAAGATACAATAATGATAT